CCAAAAAGAGGTGTTGGAGGAAGGATGGGAAGGTAGGTGGTGGTGGAGGCTGACGGAATGAAAAGGAGCAGAGAAGGAGTGGGGAGGAGCAGAGGGATGGCGGGAGGACTAACAGGGACTGAGGGAGGAGAGAAGAGGAAGAGGGAGGGGAAAAAGGATTGATGGAAATGCAGGAGGGCAGACAGGATAAAAGGAAGAGGAAGATGAGAAGGAAAAGGGCGAGAGGCGAGGGAGGAGGGAGGAAGACGGAGGACAGGAGGGCAGGAAAGGAGGATGAGGACAAAGGAACAGGACAGAAGGAGAAAAGTAGGAAAGGGAGGAACCTCGGCAGCCTATTGACCTAAAGCCAGGCACCTCATGCCTATTGACCTAAAGCAACAGGCGCTGTTGCTCCACCGGCAGCGCTAGCACCAAGCAGCTGACGGTCGGGCACGGCCTGGCCGGGCAGCCACAGCAGTTCCAGCCCTCCAAGCTGGGGGGCCGGTTCCTGCCCCCCATGCTCTAGGTCCTGGTCCCTGGGGCTCCTCAGCCTGGGATCAGTGCATCTCCCCTCCCTCCACCCTTCCGCCTCGCGGACAGATGGGGTTTAGCCTCTCAGCCGACGCCACAGTGATTCCTATTCCTGGCTTGGGTTCTAAATGGTCCAGGGAAACAGGTTGAGTCCAAGACCGAAATCTACAACCTTCCCCCTCCTACACTTCCTAAGCTTCGGAAGCGGGACCCTTGGAGGGGCCACGGACCTTCTGGGACCGGGCACCCATCAGTTCCTGCGCATGCGCGGGGCAGTCACTCCAATGGGGGCTCGTGGGCACAGAGCATGCGTGTGAGCCCGCCCCCGAAATCCTACCCCAAAAGGGAGGAGCATTTCCAGGGGGCCCGGCGCTTTCCTCAATGGCATTGGCTGGTGAATCCTAGCGCTCGATTTCGAAAAGAGCCAATAGGCTGAAGAACTGCAGTAGCCTCTTTCACGCGGAGTATGGGCAAAAATTGAAGAGAAATAGAAACATTAGATTTCCATGGTTTTTCGTTCCTAATCTATACAATGATCTCTGTAACTTGACAGCTGAACCCCAATAATTTCTAAACAGTGGTGTGCTGACCGCACTCGGTGAAGCTGTGTGTGTGTGTGTGGGGGGGGTTGTGCATCAAAATGCACCCCAATTCACTCGTTCCTCCCATTTGCGTGTGCTCACAGTCTGGGTACTCCAGGTGGTAAAGAAATGTGTAATAAAGTGAGCATTTCTTTGGCATCAAATCTCCCCGGGGGATTGATTTCGTCATGTTTGAAAAACACGGAACTCTGATGGCTGCTAACTGCAGGGTTGGTTGGTCAAACTTATCAGCTGTTATTGTTATAAGGTGAAGCCGAGTTGATTCTGACTCAACTACCCTACGCACAATAGAACGAAACACTGCCCGATCCTACAACATCCTCACAATTGTTGATTAAGCCCATTGCTGCCACTGGGTCAATACAGCTTATTGGGGTTCTTCCTCTTTTTCGCTGACCCTCCACTTTACCAAGCATGATGTCCTTCTCCAGGGATAATATGTCTGAAGTCTGGCCATCCTGACTTTTAAGGAGCATTCTTCTTCCAGTATAGAGTTGTCTGTTCTTCTGGCTGTCCGTGGTATTTTCAATATTCTTCTCCAGCACATAAACACATAAATTGTTCTGCGGTTGTTCTTATTCATTATCCAACTTTGGCATATGAGGCAATTGAAAGTCATTGGTCTTGCAAAATTCTACCACGTGATCTCCAGCATATTTTCTATCACCAAGGCCATATTTTCCGACTACTGATCTTTCCTCTTGTACTCCTGGTGCGGCACTGTAGGATCAGCACTGGACTGCAAACCACAAGGTCGGCAGTTCAAATCCACCAGCCTATACAGGGTGGCTAAGAGTTGGAACTGACACTAGGGCAGTTAACAGCAACAGCAGATCTTTCCTCTTTGTTTCCAACCCTTGCATTCTAATCACTAGTAATTATCAACGCATCTTGATTGCATGTTTGATCCATTTCAGACTGAAGAAGTTCCTAGAATTCTTCAGTTTCTTCATCATTGACTTTAGTGGTTGGTGCATACGTTGCAATAATAGTGATATTAACTGGTCTTCCTTGTAGGCATATGGATATTATCCTATCACAGACAGCATTATACTTCAAGATAGATCTTGAAATGTTCTTTTTGATGATGAAAGCAATGCTATTCCTCCTGAATTTGTTGTTCCCAGCATAGTTAACCAAATGATTATCAGATGCAAAATGGCCAATACCAGTCAATTTCAGCTCAGTAATGCCTAGAATATTGATATTTATGAGTTCCATTACATTTTTTTTAACTTTCAATTTTCCTAGAGTCATACTTTGTACATGTTCCGATTATGAATGGATGTTTGCAGCTGTTTCTCCTTATTTTGAATTGGGCTTCACCAGCAAACGAAGGTCCCTAAGATTTACTCCATTTGTACCATCATGGTCAATTCTAATATGAGAAGGCAGCTCTTCACCAGTCATATTTTGATTGGCTTCCAACTTCAGAGACTCATCTTCTGGGACTTTATCTGACAATATTCTGATGTTATTCATAATATTTTCATCTTCCAGCACTATATCTGACAATTAAATATTTCTACTGCCATTCATTTGTGGTGTTGGAGGAGAATATTGAAAGTGCCATGGACTGCCAAAAGAACCAATAGATCTATTTTGGAAGAAGTGCAGCCAGAGTGCTCCTTGGAGGCC